AGTCACAATTAATCGCGTTCCTCTTCTTCTGCGCTTATATTTAATAAATAAATATAGAATTTTAAGAATTAAAAGAAAGTAAACACTGGGGTGGGCTTGGCATTTAAAGAGCTGTCAAAATGATTAAAGCACTTTTTATACCATTTATTATTGTCAGATCGTTTCAAAATTTCTTCTCAGCATACCAATGATATTAAAGAACATTTTTAGCAAAAAATTAGAAAATCATTATTTTCATCGTGTTTTTCCAAACTTAGGGTACCAAGTCCCCTTAAGAACAATCTCGTATGTTTGTTATTTGATTAAGTAATTTAATCCAGTCTTGTTTAAAAGGATACAAAAAAGGCTAATTGTCGTTCAGCTTTGACTTTTACTATTTATTATGTTGTGAGGCGCTTGAGAGGAGATGCGTATCGAAAAAGACCGTTCAGACTTGTATAGTCGCAACTGACGCCGTCATAACAATAACACATCCGCCGACACGTCCCTGAAAACCATTCTCGTTTTGGCAAATAACAACACGATTACTTTGTTTGGGCGCCACTTTAGAGACATTAGGTTATTTTGAAGCAGGAAACATGAAAAAGATGCAATGCCCGCGCCGGGACTCGAACCAGGACCTCTCGAATACGCCCCGAGTGGGCTACCGTTACTCCACGAAGGCATGCAGAAAGGAGGGAGAAAATACTTTATAACTTTTGCCTAGTCTCCGTATTCATCCGAACTATCTCTTTGGGATTTCGCTTTTCCCGTTCTTTTCCAAATTGAAAATTGTTTATGATTTCACATCAAAATTAAATTAAAAACACGAGATTTTAATGTTATTCAACATTCAACGGAAACTGCAAACGTTCCTCGGTAACTTCAAAGATAATCAAATCGTAAAAAACAACCTTATATTTAGCGTAGGTATAATGAAACACTCAATCGATTTCGAGGGCAGCTAAAGGTCCCTCCTCATCAGGAGAAAGAAATACATAGAAAGAAGAAAATAGGAATCACAGAAACACGTGGTGCTTATCAGCACTGCACGTGGTTATAACTAGATTTTTAATCAGAGTTGCACTGGCCGCCTACTTTTACTGAGCCAGGCTGTCTGATCAAGCATAAAGAAATATTAGCGAAGTTAAAATAGGGAGCGAGGGGCAAATGCACATTACGGTCAAAATCTGAACTTCAAATAATGGAAAGCAACCACTGAACGGATTTTTATACCCTCTGGTAGTACCAAGTGCGAGGAGGTAACGCCATCTATCGGCAAAAAATAATTGAATTAAGACAGTAGAATTTTAAAGGCATTAGGAAGGACTGGATTGGACTTCAAATCATTAACTAAACTTTCTAAATCTTTGTGAATGTGAAAAGCCTCAAGAAAATCCAATTCGCCTATGGAAGAAGCCTTTTGGATGATTTTTGCAGACCCAAAATCAAAATTATGGTTAAAAGTCCAGCTATGATACGCTATTGAAGACTTGTTAATTTCCCCTTTTTTGACATAAGATTCATGTTCCTTGATACGAAACTTCAACGCTCTTTTTGTTTGGCCAATATATCTTAAACCACACTGACATGATATACTATAAATTCCCCAAGAATTCAAGACAGAAACGCAATCTTTTAGAATCGAAGGGTGAATTTTATTAATAGGGGAGAAACCGACATGAAAATTGAATTTCTGGAGAATCCGTGCAATTTTATAGCTAACAGAAGGATAAAATGGAAGCACGACAAGGTCATTGATATTATTTCTAACAGTGGAATGTCTTCTTTGATGGGAATCTGAAAATTTTTTGACGGCTTTATCAATAATCACGGGAGAAAATCCACGGTCAATCGCAACTGCTCTCAAATAATTAAGTTCATTGGTAAGCAAAGATTCAGAGGAACAAACTTTTAGCGCGCGGAAAAAATAATAGTAAAAAGAAGCCATTTTTTGCTTAACAGGGTGGCATGACTTGGCATGGGGTGGTAAACAAACTGCAAAGGGTTTACGGTACACAGTGGTGCTAAAATCGGTTTCATTGCGGATTATAAGAATATCAAGGAAGGGGAGGGAATTGTTGGATTCAATTTCAAGAGTGAATTGGATGGCTGGATCAATTGAATTCATAATAGATAGAATCTCGGATAAATCCTCTTTATAACCGTCAAAAAGTGCGAAAGTGTCGTCAACATACCGAATCCAAAGACGAAAAGATAATTTATCAAATAATTTCATCTCAAAATAGTGCATATAAATGTCAGCAAGTACCGGACTGAGAGGATTACCCATAGCCAATCCTTCAACTTGACGAAAATATGCATTTTGGAAAACAAAGTGGGTTTGACTTAGAGAAACTTTAGTAAGCGAAACCAACTCATTAATTTCAGTATGTGTGAAGTGAAATTCCCGAAGCCTAGTTTCAAGACAATTTAGTGCTCCTTCGACCGGAACATTAGTAAACAATGATTTCACATCAAATGAAACCATAATGAACGAAGTGGGGAAATATTTTTAAGTTTATCAATGACTTCAACAGAATTTTTTACAGTGTGAATATTGTTATCAAGTAGAGGAGAAAATCTGGAAACTAAATATTTGGCCAAAGGATATGAAGCAGTACCTATGTTGGAAACAATTGGTCGAAAAGGAATACCGGTTTTGTGGACTTTTGGAAGAGCATAAAGTCTAGCGCAATTAGTAATAGGCGGAATAAGTGATTTCTTCAACTGAGTTGGCAGAATGTGGGAAGATTTAATAGCACTTTTTACTTTCATGAGGTCCGAAGTTGAAGGATCTTTAGGGATCGAGCAGTATGGGCCTTCATTTATCAATTTAGAGACTCCAGTAATATATGTGTGTTTGTCCATAACAACGATCTGTCCGCCCTTATCAGCTTTAGAGATAATGATATTAGTATCAGAATGAATTTCACGTAAGATCTCATTTTCCTTTTTGCTAAGATTAGAACCCAAAGATTTATTGTTAAAATTAACGTTATGAGTAATTAGGTGGCGGATTGTATCCTTCTGCGTTTCCGAAATTTTGGAGAGAATTTAAAGGCTTTCTCTATAGGGGCGATGATTTGAGGAATTGAAGGTTTAGATGTCTTTGAAAAGTTGAAATTATATTTTAATACTTTTAACTGATCCTCCGAAAGATTCCTATTGGAGATATTAACGATGGAGGAGTTTAACGTTTACAGTGGGAAGATCAGCTAGATAATTGGGACTATCCGACTGGTGTGTGAGTTTTTGGAATTTAGAAATGAGCACATTTTTATGCCGTTGACAAACGGTATCGGTCCTAGACCAGGATGTATGTTCAAATGAGGAAAAATTTTCAGTGGAATTAGCAATTTTTAAATGGAGGTAATATAATTCAAATTCAATTTTAGATAAAACGTTTGCGTGTGTCCCTTATAATGTGACGAAGAAGTGCCAATTTGAATTTATGCAAAATTTTTGAAACGTGAACGGAAGCTTTAAGGCTACATTTCACATGTATAAATTTGGGAATGAAATTTTGATGTTTGCATTTAAGTAGAAACTGTAGATGATTCAAGAATTTCGTACACTTAAGGCGTAACTTACAAAATCGGTTCCTGTCAGTGGACATATTGTGAAAAGGGCACAAGCAAGAAACAAGTGAACAAAAGAAATGTAATTCCGAAAGTCCAAACAAGTAATTACTTATAACATGAAAAAAACATCAATAAATAATGAAGACAATTTTCATCAACAAATGACAAAAACATTCCAAAAGGAGAGAAACATCCAATACTGAAAACCAATAGCCACGTGGAAAGAAGCAACGAAAGTCAAAATCGTGCACGTGGTAAATCGAAAAAATAAAAATATAGAATTACCTCGAAAATGCCGGTTGATAGCATAAACCAAATCCGAAAAAATGATGGCCACGTGGAAAGAAGTAAATAAAATGGTGCACGTGGTAAAACAATAAACAGTAAAATATTCTCGAAAATGCCGGTTGATAGCACAAACTAGACTAGAAGAGAAACACGCTAATGTGACAATCAAAATCGTAAAAAAACAGCCTTATATTTAGCGTAGGTATAATGAAACACTCAATCGATTTCGAGGGCAGCTAAAGGTCCCTCCTCATCAGGAGAAAAAAATCATCAGTAAAAGTAGTTACTCATCATCAGTAAAAGTAGGCGGCCAGTGCAACTCTGATTAAAAATCTAGTTATAACCACGTGCAGTGCTGATAAGCACCACGTGTTTCTGTGATTCCTATTTTCTTCTTTCTATGTATTTCTTTCTCCTGATGAGGAGGGACCTTTAGCTGCCCTCGAAATCGATTGAGTGTTTCATTATACCTACGCTAAATATAAGGTTGTTTTTTTACGATTTTGATTGTCACATTAGCGTGTTTCTCTTCTAGTCTAACTTCAAAGATATTCAACATTCAACGGAAACTGCAAACGTTCCTCGGTAACTTCAAAGAAATAACCATCCACAGCGCAGGTGTAGAAAACTGATAGTATCGTTGCGGATATTTACGGAGATATTTTGTAGGAATAGCAGCCATAACTGAATAAATAAACACATAATTTTTCTCTTCTTCAAGTCCGGGAACTTTTTAACAGTTGCTACTGTTACTCCGATTTTAACTAGACTTTCGTATAAAATAAGAAAAGAAGAGGTGTTTTTTTTTAAACATATCAACGGCTGCATAGGCGTCTACATGTTTTATCTCCAGATGTAAAATGAATACAAGCCAGTCTTTCACGAAGACATCCCGTGCCTCAAGACAAATTGCTCTCCCTTTCTTTTGTCTCGTGACTGGTTTAATAGTCAAACTAAAATCAAGTGACTTCATTGTCCTTGTGTACTTTGCCATATTCCATTATACAGACATAATCAGCCACTGCATTTAATTAAAAACTATTGAAGTATTATTTTGTTTTCATTAGATGCAAAAATTAAAAATTTTTTAATAATCTGACAATCTAATTTTGTGCTTAGCGTGGATAAGATCCGGTTCCAAAGCTCGGCTGCACCGGTGCTTTCCTTTCCTCATATGTAACGTGAATGCGAGCCAGTTTCCATCAAGATGTCATCTCTCCTGTTAGGCGGATAGCCCTCACGTGCTTTGCTGTATTCGAATTAAACAGAAAGAGATGTTATGCGCAAATCTGCAAAGATAAAGGTAAGCGAATAGGATCTGGTAAAGCGGAGTTTTATAGAAATGAGGTTTTAGGTGAAGAATGTATTTATTTTTAAGCAAATTATAGAAAAATTATAATAAAGAAAGCTTTCATATATTTCATAACAAGACTTCTTGCTTTTCCGAAACTTTTTGAAGGATTAATTTCCGATTCATTCATTTTTGGTTCTTTCTGATAACTGTAGTTATAGTGTTGATTAACTGAAGTCAATCAATAAATTTTCTGCAACATTCGAAGTATTCAAAGGTACGTTTGAATTCCGTTGATATTCTTTTAATTTCGTAGTTTATTATTTATTCGCAGAATTGAACGTGTAAGCAAAATGTAATACATGATTAAAAAGTTATCCTGTTTTTGTGTAATTATATCCGTGAATTACTATTACATGTAAACATCCAATGTTAAAATTGCAGCTTTCAAAAATTATAAATGGTTCTTCAATTTATATCAAGATTTTTCCTTTAATTATTTTCCATCTTCCAGACATTTAAAGATTATTATTATTAAAGGCTACTGACTGAAAACCACGCTAGTCAAACTAAAATCAAGTGACTTCATTGTCCTTGTGTACTTTTCCATATTCCATTATACAGACATAATCAGCCACTGCATTTAATTAAAAACTATTGAAGTATTATTTTGTTTTCATTAGATGCATTAGTAATTCAGGAACTATCAAGCAGTCTAAATATTCCAAAAAGTTCAGTACTTGATGATTTGAAGATTTGGTATGTAAGCTGCGACGATGTATGTATACGCCATATTTTAGCCGAGAGGAAAATGCTTCCTGGAATTTTGACATGTGATTCTTTGCAGGGGGGGGGAATAAAGAAACTCCTTTTTTTAAACGCCTAATTACCGGAGATAAGGAGTGGATACTATACAATAATATTACAATAAAAAGATCATGGGGTAAGCTAGGAGCGTCTCCTTTAGTACCATTGAGAATGGGTTGCATTTCAAAAACGTAATGCTTTTTGTATGATGGAGCTATAAAGGAACTGCAGTAAAGCGCTCAGAGCTGACTAATTTTCGAGGTGTTCATATCCAGTATGACAATACTCGACTCCACATTTCGATTAATGTCAAACAAAAACTCATTCAGTTTAGCTGATATGTTTTGTGTTACCTTTCATATTCACTAGACCTTACCCTGCTGAATTTGTATCTCTTCAGGTCACTTGAAAAATTGTCTGAATGGCCTGAAGTTCACTTCTTTGAAGAATGTCAAACAGTACCTCAATAAAGTGTTTACAAATAAAAACCTAACAACTTTTTTAAAGTAGAAATTTTCCAGCTACCAGAGAGATGCCAAAACGTCATAGAACAAAATAGTGTTTATGTGCTTCAATGAAGTTTTCGTGTGTGTTTGTACTGCTTCATTTGTATTTATCAACAAAAAACCAGAGAACTTTCTAAATAACCAAATATAATTTTGAAGCAATTTTTCACACATAACTTCGTCTCACGAACAAACTAATAATCTCGTAATTTTACTATTTCCGCCATAGGAGAGAGAGTGTAAAATTGTCATTTAAATTAAATTTATATAAAACTTTTAACTTAGTTTCTGATATTTTGGCAAATTTTCGAAAACGGTTCGATTTGTCAGACTGTTCGGCGTCCATTATCTTAAAATTTCAACATCCAAACATTAAGTTTTCACAGATTATGAGACAAACTCTTCGCTCTTTCTTAAATTAAGAATGATAAAAAGATATTAATTGAGTGATTTTCTAGACATTTTTTTAAAATTTATTGCCGTATAATTTTAAGCAGAAAGGGTTGTTTGTCTTTTTTACTGTGTCACGTGATTAATTTAGAAACATATTTTCGAAGCTATGAGACACATTTGTCTCGCTTTTGCATAGATTTCTCTAATATTGATTTTATTTATTTATTAGTCTCCCTACCTTTGATAAGTAAAATTCCTTGCGAAGAAATTAAGCTTACTGTAGAAGTCTTATGCATTTTATAAATATTACTATGAGACACATTTGTCTCGCTTTTGCATAGATTTCTCTATTGATTTTATTTATTTATTAGTCTCCCTGCCTTTGATAAATAAAACTCCTTGCAAAGAAATTAGGCTTACTGTAGAAGTCTTATGCATTGTATAAATATTACTATTAGTTTCATTTCGTCAGTCTTAGAAACAACCGAGTTTAAGGATAGAATAGCGTTTAAATTTATTTGCAATGAAATTTACTGTAATCTTTTTAATTTTTCCATTTTTATAAGTTCATGTTTGTATTTTTCTCAGCACTGTTCATTTAAAAAATTGATCTTCTTAATTTAATTCCGAAATACAATATTTTATTTTATGGGATTTTAAAATTCTAACATCCAAAAGTGTATTTATTACAAAGATTTAATATTTTCTCAGATTATAAAAGAAACTCTTCATCCTCTTTTAAAGCAAGAATGGGAAATTAAGAATATTAAATGAATAAATAAGGATACATGTATGAAAATGTTACATTAAGGATTATATTTAAGTGACTTTCTAAGAGCTAACTAGCTTCTTTCGCAAGCAGCCATCAGACTTTTATGCTAAACTAGCCATTATATCCTATTCACTGCTATTGGTACAGGTTGGTTGGACACCTGAAATTCACCATTGACTGTTCAGTCCTACCGCACTAACTGTGCCGTTTCGCCTTAGTTTTGTGGAGAACAGCCCGAGAGCGGTCCAGGGGTACCCCATCTCTTTTGTCCTACCACAACCTCTCGAGAGAACTTTATCTCACCTTGGTCTTGCTCATATGTACCGAATGTTTGGGAAGTTGATAATTTATCTGAGGGGAAAAAAATTCGCTTATGTTCAAATATAGGTTGCTGTTATAAGGAAGGTCTTCCAACAGAAAACTCCTAGCTTTTCTGTAGGAAAGATATATGTAGCTAGTCATCCGGAAATAGGTAACAGCAAATTTGCTACCTGGTATAGATGTTTAGACGAATTATCAGAGTTTCGCGGGTTTGATCTCTCAGCTACTGGTCGGCATACCACATGCTATCATTACTGTCGCCCTTATCGGAATAATGATATGGCTGCCGGTATGGTATAGGTATGCTGGCTGCCGTATTGTTGGGCCTGAGTTCGAAACCCGGAGAAGGCATGGATGTTTGTGTCTATGCGGCATGAGGGCACTTAAAGTACTGGCTAACCGAATGTACTGTCCAGTGGTTTCGTGTTTGGGGAAAAGAGATTGGAAACCACAGGATCCATTCCCCTGGCTGTTCTTCATCAAAACTGGCACAGAGCTGTGCAGTTATGGCGGTGAAACTATACCTGTACGACTAGTGATGAAATTCTGGTGTCCCACACACTTCTGCCTGTACTGGTATCTTCACTGCCTTTCATGACCGGCTACATTTCTTGAGACATTAATGATGGTCATGGGAAAGCTGCAAGCTGATTGTCGGTGCTTGATGACTGGGACGTGGAGAATGGGTTTATATGAAGAAGGTTTTAATTTTCGTGTCAGATCAGTCTCCTGGTCGTGAGATTTTTTTTTTTTGTTTGTTTTGTTTATCCTTTAACTTAGTTGACTTTATCGCCTTAACGAGTAACCATATAATTTAGTAAAATAGTGTATTAAAAATATTTGTAGCTAATTTTAAAATTGGGAAATGCATAACAACGATATTAATTTTAATAACATCACAATATGCTTATAATAGTATAATTCATTTTCTCCTTTAAAAATTCTATTCAATAGAAAGTCTTTTTCAAATGAAAAATTCGAAAGAGGTTTGCTTCAGTAATTAGAATATTAATCGAATACTTTAGTGATCGTTAGTTATTATTGGGTAGGGTAAATTTTGATGGTAGAAACGATTTTTTGAGTTTTAATTGCATATCTAGATGTGAATTTTAACGCTATAACCCAGTCTGAAATATTAAATCATTCAAATATTCAAAGAAGAGAATTTGCCCTTTTTTTTTTTTTTTTTTTTTTTTTTTTTTTTTTTTTACTACTAGGAATCGCAATGCAGGCATAGGGCCGAGAATAAACTCTCAAAACGAAAGTTCGTTGCAATTCAGAATTACAACAAAATATCACACTGAAATTATTGAAATGTGGTGAAATACTGAGGAATAAAATTTTACTGTGGAATAATGGTAAATTTTTATATTTTATAGGACGCGTAGCATTATTTCTGTATTTAATCTAATCATGACGCAAAAAACGCATTTTACTCGTATTATACCTGCGATTTATGTTCCCTGTCCTTTGCAAAGTTTTCCTTTCTGTATGTTAACTGAGCTTCAATTGTTTCTAAATAAAAGAAAAATCTTGTTTCAAATAAATGTTATCAATCATTATTTGAAATGCCAAAACTACTTCTCTTCTTTACAAGGTCTGTTCACAGAAAGAAACAAGTGTCTCGGTTCTAAAATGATTACTCACTGTTTTCAAATGCTTAAGTTCAAGCTTCCGTAGTTTATTTTGCATTTTATTTATTTTTAGCAAAACTACAGTATAATTCTCCTTATAGTGATAGCAGACTTCTTTTGTGTAACTTTAATGACCATTGCTTAGAATCTTTGTTTCAAATTCTAATTAGCATGAGAGGTCGGTAAACTAAATCGGTTGTTATTAAAGATAGATTATCTTATATTATTAATTCGTTCTTACACTGGATTATTAAATTAAGCTGTAAAGCTGAAAAATATACAAAAGCAGATAATAAATGTTACACAGTACAGCATTTCATTGAATAGATTGTTGTCACATTCGCGATTACATTTCTTCTTATCTCGTTTTCAAGCTGTTTGAAGTGGAGAGGAATACGTATTTGCTTGTGTACATTTTGCAGTTGACTGTCACCATATCAATAAAGTTACTCACATAATGCTGTAACAGAGGATGATACTTGTTTATTTCCCATCTTACGAACTATTTGATTTCGCCAATTTTCCTACGGTTTGATTTCTTATAGTTCCATCATTTTTGTGTAAGTTCTGAATTTTCCATAATGATTGTTTTTGTCAATAACCTATTTATTGTGAAAATATTTCAGCTGAAATCAGAAACTAGGTACATTTAGTAATTGAACATTTAGTAATTGGTGAAAACAATTTGTAGAATATTTTTAATGCCATACTTATCTTACCATAAAACACGTATTTAAATGCTCTGGAAGAAACGAATTTCTTTAGTGTAAATAATAGTGTAATTTCTTTTAGTGTAAATAGTAGTCGTTAGACCGTAATGCAACATCTTTTTTAGTTTCTAGTCCTCAAAACTTTATTCATGTGCTAATAGAGAGAAAAGTTAGTTAATTTAAGACAACAAACATGAATGTAATGATTAAATTTATGTCTGATCTTTTAAGCTTAAAATTAGGATGTTTCATCTCAATTTTGTTTCTGTTGCTAAATTTATCTGTAAAAATTGGTTAGGTAATATTTCTGTACGAAACGGTGTTTGCTTTGTAAATTGAAGCACATCTAGCCCTTTTCAGGGTGGAAATAATTCTATAATTTGTTTCCAAAATATATGTTCTAAGCGTAATATTTTATGTACTTTTTTACAGGAGAATGAAATTCATGTAAAATCTAATTTCTCGTCTTGGTAATGAATTTACTAAAAATATTATGACTAAGTCTAGAATGAAGGAAGGAATTATATCCTATTCACTGCTACTGGTACAGGTTAGCTGGACACCAGAAATTCACCATTGACTGTTCAGTCCTACCGTCCTAACTGTGCAGTTCTGCCTTAGTTTTGTGGGAAAACACCACGAGGGCGGTCCAGGGGTACCTCATCTCTTTTGTCCTACCACAACCTCTCGAGAGAACTTTGTCTCACCTTGAATTTAAAAGCCCTCTTGCCACGCAAACACTATAACGCTTACAAACCTCCATGCCCTCTCCGGGATTGGAACCCAGACCCATTGGTAGCGCAATCAGCGTCACTAGCCGTTATACCGACTGGGCGGATCGCTGCTTCTGACTTAAATTGCTGATTCCTTATATTTACACCAATTTTATATAATATGAGACCTTTGTTCCGTTTAGTGACTCATCAAATGCCATTCAGTTAAAGTTGCATCATCAAATGCCATTCAGTTAAAGTTGCAGAGTATTGGGAATTGCCTCGGTTTCCATTTCGTGCGGTTGAATAAACTAGTTGCGTGACTTTAGTGGTCTTCTCATATGTAGCATAAACACCCGCCATTTTCGCTTAAGAATTCCTCCTCAAAGGCAGCTGTCGCTGAATTGCATTGAATTGTATTATGGCAAAGCGTATAAGGGCTACCTCTTTAGGGGGTTGTCTTCTTGGAGGACTTTTTAAGGGAAATTGGTTGGTATTCACGTTGCACATCAGGAAATCCACGAAAACAATCACGCAGCCAGTAGTTCTCTTGGATTTGCACCTGATGTGTTGGGCTTAAATTTAAAAAAAAATCTATCGATTTCAAGGGCGAATGGGTAGAGGCCTGTCTTCGCCTTCGTAATCGATAAGAGTTTTGTATTTTTCTTTACGTTATTACGAAAACCATCACTAATATTGCTAAATGGTCTCCTTGTGATATTTATCGTATTTCATTTAATAATCCATTCTCCTCATGATAAGGTTTTGAAAAACCCCCTGTGTGCAAAGTTCCTTGAAATTTTCACAGTCTATTTAATAAAAGTCTTGATGAATCCTTAATTGCAGGATCATTCATTCTATTTTTCAGTCTTATAACATTTAAATAATTAATCAAAATATGTCCTGTGTAATGTATTCAAGCATTTAAACGTTTGTTTAATGTGGCGAAGAAAACCCATGTCGCACAAATATATCTCTAAATTTCTTACTCTCTTTTTTTTCCCCGACTAAATATACCAAATGCACCTCATTCCTTATCATTCCGTCCTTTTAAAATATATATGCTTATATAGTTTCATAATTAGAAGAAATTGGCACAACCATGAACTGTGTAGCTGTTTGACACGGGAAAAGTATCATTAGTAAAGCATAATAATTGAGTTGTATGTAACAGGACGAATTAACGAGCTGCATTAAATATAGTGCTAAATAAAACAACGAAGCACCTTCCGTGCATAACGAAGTAGCTACACAATAATCTCTTTTCCTGTTAAGGTCAAGTACATTTCTGGTGAACCTGATTGTAGCGATTAAGAGCTAATAGTCTATTCTGACGGGGGGAAGTAAATTAAACTAGTTTCTCTCCCACGTTTGTTGTGTGCAGCAAAGGCTGCAGGTAGGCATCTCATGCACATCAAGTTTTCGATTTCCACACGACTAGTTTATTAAAAGTATTGATAATTTTGAATGAAGCTGTATTAAAAATGATGTTTGGCAGATTTTATTCCAAGTCACGTAATGGCTTTCTGACATTTTTTTTAATATATGCAGAATATATATGCTCTGTACACGGTTTAATAGAGATTGCAATTCATGATCATTCCCTTTCATATTTGCTGAAAGTGTTAATTTTTTGAAATTTCTTTTATGTTTTAGAAGACGACGAAGAAAGTATTTCTTCAGTCCTTTCTAGTTCCGAAATCTGCATGCTGGAGGGTAAGTTTCTTTGAAATTCAGAATTCTCGCAGATATTGTGCAATGAATTCACTTAAATGTATAAAATATTTGCTTACTACATCACTTAATTTTTAACATTTCGCAGTACAATAGTCTTCCTCTAATAAATATAACGTAATTAACTCATATTTCATTCACATGAAATCAGTGGAAAATTAGATCATCAGATTATTATGAAGCAAATAGAAATTAATGAGTAGTGATAACATTCACTGATTCATGTGGAAGCTCAAAAATATTCATACGTAATTCAGTTTCTGTACATGTTCCTCTGTTATCAACATGCATCTCATAACCTGTGGTCTCAAAAATAAAATTTCAACTAGCGAAACATTTTTTCACCCTTGGAGGTTTCTGTAGGTCATTTACTAATGCATTCATGTTAGATTTTTTTTCCATTTTGCATACTAATATTTCAACATACAGCCATTTATATCGTTAAACCGTTAATTCTAATCAGCGGATAACTCATTTACAAAATTCTTAATAATATCTAATGGAGAAAATTTTGTTTATTTTATTCATTAAAACTTCATGTATATATTTTCGTTAGTTGTCGGAAAAGTTTCTTTTTTAAAGTTCAAGGAAATTACCACTCCAAAGTATAATTTTTTTCCTATCTAGAATTTTTTTCAGTTTTATCTAGAATTTTTTTCAGTTAGCTAAAAGGCAATCGATAAAATATTAAATGAGTTTATATTCCCCCTTTTTGCTTTATAAAAGAGGGATTTGATCTACAATTCTTTGAAATAGTTAAGACCTCTGAAGGAGTGCGTTGTTGCTCCTGTATTTTAATGAAGTAGCCTAGAACTACATTAAAGCAAAAAATATAACTTATTCCACATACAGAAACGAAATTCTTTGCCGGGCGTAGTGTAGCAGCCTTTCATTCCTAGCGGACCGCCAGAGTAGACTCTCAGGGGAGAGAGAAGTTGTGACGTAAAAACATACACGTTATGTGCTCCTTCTTGCTGATTTGGTTGATGCGTCGTATCTCTCGCTCGCATGAACGAAATGCTATACCTGTTTCACTTCAGTCCAGTATTTCATTATATATCACAAACATTTCTCTATTTTTGAGAGGCAACGTTTTTGGTAATTTCATGATATCGTTCATGTTTGTATTTTTCGAGAATGTCAAATAAACAAAATGATCAAGAAAGGTTTTTTTCCTTAGTCATTTATCCCAGGTATGAGTTGGCAGTTGCAATATTTCTTATAATAAAGTAGAGGATTTGATGAACATACTTGTTAGCACTAGGATTCGATTGGTTTGTACATATAAAAGGCTAGCTTATTATGAGGAACAAACAGCACAGCTTATTACATAGCGCGAAAAGTCTTGTTAGTAAAATATTCATTACGCTTTCCTAAATTGAATCCAGAAAACTTCCATACATTTATGTAAACATTTCGTTGAAATATTTGTAATGAACAGTTTCATGAGGTCAGCTACAAATAGTAAGAGCTGTTTCACTGAAAATGGAATCAGTGAGCCCTAAGAATGAATGACTGAAATTTTGCAGTTTAGCATTAAAATCTTGGGAAGCTTTTTCATATTTGCCACGTTATGTATGTTGAAAAATGGTTTAACTCAGCAAATTCCTTCTTTTACGTTCACACGACTAAACACTTTTAAGATATATACTATTTTATGTTTAAATAATAAAAGAATAGGGAGCATTTGAGAATTTTAGAAATTTTGCTGTACGGGAACCAACCATGTAAGACATTTTGCAAGACACGTACAGCGTTCTGCCTGTTTTTCTAAAATTTCTACCCTATATTAAGAATAACTGGAAGCTCATGTCTAAAATTAATATTTAAGGGAATCGGACCTGCCGCCTTCTTTTTAACACTTCGTGTAGCTATATGTGAAGTCAGTTTTTGAAGGTATGGGGGAGTTCTACGAAAACTTCTATCTCATTTCCATTCCAGCCAGCGCTTTTACGAAAATTTTAACCCGGGTTGAACTACTGGTGTTCAACGACTTTACCGTTGGGCCGCTGATGTGACAAATTCGTTTTGGAAGGTATAGGATTTCTATTCTGGTTATAATCGCTTATCTTGCACTTTCTTTTTTTAATGTAATAATGTTTATTTATCATAGCTGTACTTGACGCTTCTATCACGATAATACAGAAATGTTGCAACAAGACATTATAAATATTGGAGTGGTGGTGGAGAATATGTATACATGAACATGAATCTAAAAACTTCCTTTGCCGTGCGAAATCTTCAGTTTGATTTCAGAACGCAATGACATGGTTTCGTGCGCTGCGTTTGCAACGAAATTGACTTCGAATATATTAGTAATGATGACATCTGAGCTGACATTTACAACTCGAAAAAAAAAGTGCTTTTGAATACAAAATTACTATCATTATTTTATAAAATAATAATTTGCACCATTTTTTTTTTTTTTTTTTTTTTTTTTTTTTTTTTTTACTTCAATATAAGCTTTCAGCAGCTTCAGCCAGTTTTCTTTAGAAGTCCTTAACCGAAAGCATACCTTCTCTTTTACAGACAGCCCTATATGTGTTTTGCCATAATCGATTGAATAACAAAATGGTAACTGTACATGAAACAGTGTTTGGTTAAAGTTGCAGCATGCAAATTTTGAATTGACGTAAAAACATGAACATTATGTGCGCCTTTTGCTGATTGATTGATGCGTCGCATCTCTCGCTTTCATGAATGAAATGCTACACCTGTTTCACTTCAGTCCAGTATTTCATTATATATCACAAACATTTCTGTGTTTTTGAGAGACAACGTTTTTGGTAACTTGGTTCATGTTTGTATTTTTCGACAATGTATTTATAGAGGAAATTGTTCATTAATGTTAATAAATAACGTTAGAAATAAACGTTTTGAATTGTCGCAGTTGCCATTATTTTGTAAAAGAAGGGGAAAAACGAAGCTTCGATTGATTAAAGTCGTTAACTGTGTCGATTTGTTGATTTACTAATTTTTATTAAGGATAAACTTTCCTGTTTGCTTTCTGTAGTGTTACCTAAAATTACATTTATATGCATGAAAATAATGGTTTTTCTTAATGCAACCAATCAGTTTGATTTACTTTTTAATAAAATGAGTAAAAGGCAAAGCCAGTTATCATTTTACAATTCAATTTGATCAGTCTGTTTCTAAAATGCAAATTGATAGCATGAGTTCGTCCTAAGGAATGTCACACATTTTGCGTTAAGTACGTCTCCCAGCGAACTTCTACAGTTCAGAGTTTGATTTCAGCGTTTATGAACATAAAACAATTTTATATGACACTGAAGTATCCTCCTTCGAATTTGGAAAGGGTTATGGCAAAGTTCACTAGGGTTATCTGCCTAAGGGTAGGCCTTTGGGAAGGACTTTCTAGGAAAAGAGGGCTTATGTTCTTGTTACACGTGGGGAAATCCGGGAAATGTACCCCGCAACCTACCCACTAGCCGTGATTTGAACATGAGTTTAAACAACCAGTGTTCAGATGTTTGAAGGCAGACAGTCTTTACTCCGTGGAAACAATTTAAGATCTGAAAGTATTTCCAGGAAGCCGAGAGAAGGGTCTTCTAGTTAAAAAGTGCTTGTTAAAACAGGTTTCTGTCTTCAACTGCCCGCCTCAATGGGAACTTGACTGCTGGTCAACTGAAGGAGCCAGAAGTCAAGTGGTTGTGCTTCACTCACTTTGCATTAGAAGGCTCTTCTGATTTGGTACAGATAATTTCAACAGTATGCTTTTCTTTAGGAACTAGTAAATGTTCAATTTAGCACTGTGCATTTATATCTGGATTGAACCGTTAGAACGAAACACACCTTAACAACATTAGGAACATTACCGTTACCGCATGGCAGATGTAATTGTTTAGAGAGACGAATAATTATCAATGAACGTACTCCCTCTTCCTATGCATGTTCTGTAGAGCATTTGTTTCTGCCAATACATCAAAATGAAGTCTTCCAAATTTAGTAGGTCTTATTAGAAGTGGGTGTAGATCCCACCTTCATTTACTAGATTATGACACGCGTCCACGTAGAGCAGACCTGGTTGATGAATTTATTTAAATCGAAGGTATGAAGTAAAGGTACTGGCCTGTCAAATCTCTTAATTTTGAGCCCATTGAAAACATCAGGACATCCTTGGAACAAATGCACGGCAAAATTCTTCTCTTTGAGCTTTTATAGCAGGTATAGCCAACCCGTAGCATGACGGAGTTTCAACTGTGGCATGCGAAGACGTATTGAAAAATTAAAAGATTTGAAAAAATAATAATACCATCTGTATGAACAACTTCGTCAATAGATGCACACCTATACACACTCGAAAAAGTTTAATAATTCAGTTTCTCTGCTAGACATTAATTGCTACCCAACTGAAATCTAAATCGAAACAATTGACCTACAGCAGCATACTATACTGAAAAGCAAATATAAGGAACTCATTTCAATTACAAGTGATCCAAATTATACTGAATTTTGGAAATTTGTACCAACGAGCAATTTTTCAAATTTACACGATTTGGCCGTCAGATATTTTTGTAGGTTTGGATCAACATATAGTTGCGAACAAATGTTTCCTATTGTGGACTTAATAAAATAAAAATATTGTTCAAGATTAACTGATATGCACCTTAAATACCTAATTTTGTTAGCATCTTGAAGAACTAATCCTAATAACTACATATGCAAAAACCACATTAATTAAGTACTGACTGATTAATAGTTATTTATAATTAAATGTTTCAAATTATTCACTTTTATTTAATGCATAACCTAACTGCCTGAACCTTTAAAAATGTTTATTACAATAAATCCCTAGTTTACATGCTTGTTATTTTTTAAATGCTTACTACTCAGACTTACATAAAAAAATTGGTTATTTGCGTAAAAGTCCCATAATCAGTATATAAATACTACTTTTTCACCTTTCTATATTTTTTAGTATGCTGGAAAAGTTGGAAATGGCACGCATAACTTTTTTTTTC